CCAGTGGAGAGGCTGGGCCAGGAGCTTGTTCTCGACCCCTGCAACCTCAACTAGGTGAGGTGAGTACACACACACACACACACACATGTGCCAACCTCTATTTCATATTCTGAAAAAAAAACAATAGCCTCAGAAATAAATATAATGATTTAGATAGCTAAAATTCTAGATATTTTCTCCACAAAACAATTCACCATTTTTTCTCAGATAAAGTGGAGTACAGGACACAGCCGGCGCTCCCCCTCTGGATCGTCACGCTGAGGCGCTGCAAGAGAGAAAAATAGAGCTTATTACTTCCCTCTCGGCATGCCGGAGAAAGCAATTACATATTTTTCTTGAGTCTGGCCTAAGTTTGCGAGACAAAGTTATAACATCAGCACAAGTCGCTAATATGTAGTTGGGCTTAGTTTTGTAGCAGATCAAACTCGCGGAGAACTTGATTACGCTTGATTGTTCTCCTGCGTAATACACACGGGGGGAAAACTAGACCAGGAAAAAACGGAACGGAAATAAATACGAGAAGGATGTGGAGAGGAGCAGGAGGATAAAACATTGGAACAGGAAGATAAAAATGGAGAAAGGTTAGGAAGAATGAGAAGAATTCTTAGGAAGAGAAGTATTATAAGACGAAAGAAGTAAGAGGAGAAATAAGAGGATAAGAGCAAAAAGTTACCTCAAAGAAAAGCAAAATACACCCAAAAAAGAAAAAAAGACTGCCAATCTAAAATAAAATGCTTAAGTAAAAATCGTCTTTAAACAGAACAAGTGTTACCTGACACGGGTCTCAGTTATATGATGACCCACGGCTGGAGCTTTAGGTCATCTGACCGAGACCTTCCACAGGCTTCTTTTTTTTTCTTTTTAATAGTTAAAGATTAGCCGGTATTCTCCCGGCCCGGGCCTTGTCCAAGTGGTGGCCCGGCCTTGGCTCCCTCTTTAGGGAGTATCTGAGACCTAAGTCTCCCATGGGAGGAGGCACAAGTACCTCCTCATCTTTGGGACCAACTGTCCCCAGACCTAGCCACAAGCTAGGCCTCCCTGGTCTGCCATCCCCGCCCCAAGGGGGCTAATGGGAATGACAGTCTTGTGAGCTAAAGGCTCGGGCTCAGGCACCTACCCTACCCTAGAAGGGTTAGGCATGGTGTCGATCTTTTTCTTTTTAATTGAAGAACTTAATATTAAATCAACCAAAATAATAAATAATTTTTTTCCCTCAGTTAAAATGCAAGTATTTTTTTTTTATGTAAGACAGGTGCTCAAAAGTTATTTCACCATATACACTTTTTATGTTCAACAAAGTTCGTAAGCCTGGAATTTAGATAAATATTGTAATTCACTGGAAAAAACGTTTTAAAAAAATATTTTTTTTAATATGAGAGAGTTTGCTTTCAGCTGATACTTAACTATTTTTTAGTAGCAATGTTTGATAAATTCTGTTAAATTATTATAAGAAAAAAAAAACGCTGGATTGCCGTGTTTATAATAATAATAATAATAATAATAATAATAATTAATTATTATTATTATTATTATTATTATTATTATTATTATTATTATTATTATTATATTATTATTATTATTATTATTATTATCTGGCTTGCAAATTAAGTTACCACTAACTTTCCAGCAAGTTAATACAATCTACTACAGTTTAACTCTACTCACCCGTGGATAGCCTATATATTAAGTTTATGGAATGTATATTAAATATTGGAAGGGTATATACACTGAAAGGTGTGTATCAGCGTATATACATATTATATATATATATATATATATATATATATATATATATATATATATATATATATATTATATATATATATATAATATATATATATATATATATATATATATTGAGAGGTGTGTATCAGTGTATATACATTAAGAGGTGTGTATCAGTGTATATACATAAGAGGTGATCTGTAATACAGAGGTGTACTCTATGAATACAATGAGGACCTGTATATACAAGTGACCTGTGACACAACAGTGACCTGTGACACAACAGTGACCTGTGACACAACAGTGATTTGTAATACAACAGTGACCTGTGAAACAGCAGACCTGTGACACAACAGTGACTTGTGACACAACAGTGACCTGTGACACTACAGTGACCTGTGACACAATAGTGACCTGTGACACTACAGTGATGTGTGACACAACAGTGATTTGTAATACAACAGTGACCTGTGAAACAGCAGACCTGTGACACACAGTGACCTGTGAACAACAGTGACTGTGACACAACAGTGACCTGTGACACTACAGTGACTGTGACACAAAGTGACCTGTGACACTAACAGTGATGTGTGACACAACAGTGACCTGTGACACAACAGTGACTTTTAATACAACAGTGACCTGTGACACTACAGTGACCTGTGACAACAGTGACCTGTGACACAACAGTGACCTGTGACACTACAGTGATCTGTGACACAACAGTGACCTGTGACACAACAGTGACTTTTAATACAAAAGTGACCTGTGACACAACAGTGACCTGTGACACAACAGTGACTGTGACACAACAGTGACCTGTGACACAACAGTGACTTGTGACATACAGTGACCTGTGAACACACAGTGACCTGTGAACAACAGTGACCTGTGACACTAACAGTGACCTGTGACACAACAGTGACTGTGACACAACAGTGACCTGTGACACAACAGTGACTGTGAATACAAGTGACCTGTGACACAACAGTGACCTGTGACACAACAGTGACCTGTGACACAACAGTGACCTGTGACACTACAGTGACCTGTGAAAACAGTGACCTGTGACACAACAGTGACCTGTGACACTACAGTGACCTGTGACACAACAGTGACCTGTGACACAACAGTGACTTGTAATACAAAAGTGACCTGTGACACAACAGTGACCTGTGACACAACAGTGACCTGTGACACAACAGTGACCTGTGACACAACAGTGACCTGTGACACAACAGTGACCTGTGACACAACAGTGACCTGTGACACAACAGTGACCTGTGACAACAAAGGCACCAGCTGCAACTCCTCTGGTCTAATTAACGGTAATGTCCTTCTTAGGTAGTCTGTAATTACATTGATAATGGGATTTAAGAAATGGGAATGTGTGTGTGTGTGTGTGTGTGTGTGTGGCTTTGTGTGTGTGTGTGTGTGTGTGTGTGTGTGTGTGTGTGTGTGTGTGTGTGTGTGTGTGTGTGTGTGTGTGTGTGTGTGTGTGTTCTGCGGACAGTCGTGGGATGAAATAGGGGGGTTTGGGAGCTTTGGTTCAACCTCTACAGTCACAACAAACTCCATATTCTCTTTCCATATCTATCTATCCATCTATCTATCTATCTATCTATGTATCTATGTATCTATCTATCTATGTATCTATGTATCTATCTGTCTGTCTATCTATCTATCTATCTCATAAAAAAACTGGAGAATACAAACTAAGCAAAATTTTTCACTTCATTTATTATCATCATAATAACCATCAACACAATATATACAATCACAAAAAAAAAAAAAATAGATTCTCTTCCACGAAGGCTGCCTGAAGAAGGCTCGTTCTGCCTTCATAATCCGGATTGTTCCTCCCCCGTACACGAATCCGGATTAGGACAAACAAATGACGAGCATTACAGTGGTGTTATATAGACTGATTACAAAAAACAAGCTTCAGTGACCCTTTGAGAAAATAGGAAGCAGGTTAATATGCCCAGCAGAGTACAGTTGAGTACATATTTGACTCTCACGGCACAATTCGTAAGTACAAACACAAATTATTATTTTTTGGGGGGGTAATATTTACAGTGTTTTTCATTTTGTAAATTATACATTAACACAAAATTCGCATCTATCCATTAAAAAAATATTCATAGTGAATTATATAATCATATATATATATATATATATATATATATATATATATATATATATATATATATATATATATATATATATATATATATATATATATATATATATATATATATATATATATATATACACTACAGTAATATGCAAATCCCAGCAGGTATACTCACTATACACACCATCAGGTATACTCACTATACACACCATCAAGTATACTCACTATACACACCATCAAGTATACTCACTATACACACCATCAAGTATACTCACTATACACACCATCAAGTATACTCACTATACACACCATCAGGTATACTCACTATACACACCATCAAGTATACTCACTATACACACCATCAAGTATACTCACTATACACACCATCAAGTATACTCACTATACACACCATCAAGTATACTCACTATACACACCATCAAGTATACTCACTATACACACATAAGTATATACTCATATAACACCATCAAGTATACTCACATACACCCATCAGGTATACTCACTATACACACCATCAAGTATACTCACTATACACACCATCAAGTATACTCACTATACACACCATCAAGTATACTCACTATACACACCATCAGGTATACTCACTATACACACCATCAAGTATACTCACTATACACACCATCAAGTATACTCACTATACACACCATCAAGTATACTCACTATACACACCATCAAGTATACTCACTATACACACCATCAAGTATACTCACTATACACGCCATCACGTATACTCACTATACACACCATCAAGTATACTCACTATACACACCATCAAGTATACTCACTATACACACCATCAAGTATACTCACTATACACACCATCAAGTATACTCACTATACACGCCATCACGTATACTCACTATACACACCATCAAGTATACTCACTATACACGCCATCACGTATACTCACTATACACACCATCAAGTATACTCACTATACACGCCATCACGTATACTCACTATACACACCATCAAGTATACTCACTATACACACCATCAAGTATACTCACTATACACGCCATCAAGTATACTCACTATACACACCATCAAGTATACTCACTATACACACCATCAAGTATACTCACTATACACACCATCAAGTATACTCACTATACACACCATCAAGTATATCCTGTCTATAAAAGCCACTTTTGACAGTGACTCAAAAATATATTAAATATTTTTCCCTCAGAAGAAAACGGAGCAAAGAAAGACACACACACACACACACACACACACACACACACACACACACACACACACACACACACACACACACACACACACACAAGTGATGTGTTGATGAGAAATGATGTAGTGGAGGCAGGATCCATACATAGCTTCAAGAAGAGGTATGATAAAGTTCATGGAACAAGAAGAGTGACCCAGTAGCGACCTGTGAAGAGGCAGGGCCAGGAGCTGTGACTCAACCCCTGCAACCTCAACTAGGTGAGTACACACACACACACCAAAACACCGAAGGATTGCTTTAGTGTCACTTTTTATACAAACACTATGAAATATACACATTTTAAGATTTTTCAATAAATCTGAAAAGAAAAAACTCACAAAAAACACATTTTTGATAGTTCTGAAAGCCTATCAACTGGAGGATAGGCCTATACACGGGTCATTATAGGTCAGAAACCACCTAGATGCTTGCACTAATTATATCATTAACCTTAAACAGTCATTTTATACAAGGAACGATCCCGTAGGCTCAGGTTCAGTTTTTTTCTACACGTGCAAACATGGGTTTTAATATATAAATTTCAGTGAATGTATATAGACCGGAATATACATGTAAATATAATGAAATGCCCACGGTAACGTCCTTGTAGCATATTGGTGCCCATGGTAGCGTCCCCTAGGACACAGTGGAGTTTGTCGTAGCGTCAGAGGAGCATACTGATGAGCATGGTAGCGTTCCTAGAGAATATAGAGGTCCCTGGTAGAGTTCTAGCGCATGGAGCCCCTGGTAGCATCGTAAAGTATGTTTGAGCCCCTGGTAGCCTCTAGAGCAGTTTGGAACCCCTGGTATCGTCATAGAGCAAGTGGAGCCCCTGGTAGCCTCCTAGAGCATGTTGGAGCTCTTGGTAGCCTCCTAGAGCATGTTGGAGAACCTGGTAGCCTCCTAGAGCATGCTGGAGCCCCTGGTAGCCTCCTAGAGTATGTTGGAGAACCTGGTAGCCTCCTAGAGCATGCTGGAGCCCCTGGTAGCCTCCTAGAGCATATTGAAGCCCTTGGTAGCCTCGTAATGTTGTAGCCCCTGGTAGCCTCCTAATGTTGGAGCCCCTGGTAGCCTCCTAGAGCATGTTGAAGAACCTGGTAGCCTCCTGGAGGATGTTGGAGCCCTTGCTAGCCTTCTAGAGCATGCTGGAGCCCCTGGTAGCCTCCTGGAGCATGCTGGAGCATGCTGGAGCCCCTGGTAGCCTCCTAGAGCATGTTGGAGCCCCTGGTAGCCTTCTAGAGCATGCTGGAGCCCCTGGTAGCCTTCTGGAGCATGTTGGAGCCCCTGGTAGCCTCCTAGAGCATGCTGGAGCCCCTGGAAGCCTCCTAGAGCATGTTGGAGCGGGTTGTGGGTTGTTTGCTGGCCTCGTGGAAGCGACGGGGATGGCAGTGTTCTTGATCACCGATGGAGATGTTCTCGTTTGAACGACTGGGAGCCAATCCGAGCACCACCTGCAGCAGTGAACAGGTGAACAGAATGAGAACTGAGCAGCTGAACAGGCTCTACGGTGGGCAGCTGAAAAGCTGTAGGGTGGGCAGTTGAACAGGCTGGAGGGTGGGCAGGTGAATAGGCTGGAGAGTGAACAGGTGAACAGATATATAAGCTGGAGAATGAACATGTGGATAGGTGAAAAAAAATAATATGCTAGAGTGAACAGGTGAACAGTCTGGTAGAGCTTAATAACATCTTTAATAAGAATAACTATGAACAGAGTGAACGTGTAACTATTTGAAGTTAACAACAGAGAGAACAACTAAGCTGCCTAGGAAGAACAATCTGAACAACGAACACACGATAAAGGAAATTAAATGTTCTCTTTCTATCTCCTTTCTGAACTCTTTATCAGCTCAGGAATAAAGCATAAGAAGACTTCGTACACGGTGAACATAGTGAACAATTCCATTAACTTAATCATCCGCAGCAAGAACAAAAGGGAGGAAGCAAAGCTTTGTTCACGATAACAATGCTTGCAGAAAGAGAGAGAGAGAGAGAGAGAGAGAGAGAGAGAGAGAGAGAGAGAGAGAGAGAGAGAGAGAGAGAGAGAGAGAGAGAGAGAGAGAGAGAGAGAGAGTTAATACGAGAGCGCTACAGCAAGGACTGGATAGACTTATGCAGTGGTCAGAGAAGTAGCAGATGCCGTTTATTATAGACAAATACGAAGTTCTAAGCCTTGGAGGGGAATATAACCATGACACTTACAGACTTGATAATGAAAATCTTAATCACTCTAAATGTGTAAAAGATTTAGGAGTTCTGGCTAGCTGTATTCTAAAGCCAAGACAACAGTGCGTAAATGTTCGTAACAAAGACTAGAGTCCTCAAGTTATACTTAAAATAACGCTATATATCACTGGTAAGGCCTCATTTAGATTATGCTGCGCAATTCTGGTCACGGTATTACAAAATAGACATAAATGCGCTGGAAAAGGTAAAGAGGAGGATAAAAAAAGTTGATCCCATGTATCAGAAATCTTCCCTACTAGGATAGACTGAGGGGCCTGAATCTGTACTCTCTAGAAAGGCGTAGAATTAAGGAGGATATAACTGAGGTGTATACATGGAAAGCAGGTATAAACAGAGGGTGAATAAATAACGTGCTAAAAATCTAACCAAGACAGGACTCGCAGCAATAGATGCAAGTTAGAAAAATTTAGATTTAGAAAAGATATTGGAAAAAACTGATTTGGTAATAGAGTTGTGAACGAGTGGGTGTTAGACCTGCCCAGCATGGGCCAGCAGGCCTTCATCAGTGCTCCTTCATTCTTACATTATTATGATATCCTGATATCTGGCAAGTATAACATACAGTACAGAGCGTCGCGGGCCGGTAACCCCCCCCCTTTGAAAAAAACAACAACAGGAATCCTTTAGGACCTAAAACTGGCAGACAGTTTGATAAAACAGTGTATTACACAGGTAAGTGGAGAGGTCTTCCAACTATGTTAATAAACCACATCATTATTTCTTGTAAACAGATGCACTTTGGCTGTCAATCATCTTTTATTATTATTATTATTATTATTATTATTATTATTATTATTATTATTATTATTATTATTATTATTATTATTATTATCACTGCTGTTAATGTTACTACTATTGTTACTAATTTCATTATTATTACTAATTTACTGCTACTAATAATATTATAAATATTATTTTGTGTGTGTGGGTACGTGTGTGTGTACGTGTGTGTGCACGTGTGTGTGTGTGTACGTGTGTGTGTGTGCAGTGTGTTGTGTGTGTGTGTGTGTGTGTGTGTGTGTGTGTGTGTGTGTGTGTGTGTGTGTGTGTGTGTGTGTGTGTGTGTGTACGTGTGTATGTGTGTATGTGTGTGTGTGTGTGGTACGTGTGTGTGTACGTGTGTGTGTACGTGTGTGTGTACGTTTGTGTGTGCACGTGTGTGGTGTGTGTACGTGTGTGTGTGTACGTGTGTAGTGTGTGTGTACGTGTGTATGTGTGTGTACGTGTGTGTGTGTACGTGTGTGTGTACGTATGTGTGTGTACGTGTGTGTGTGTACGTGTGTGTGTGTACGTGTGCATGTGTGTGTACGTGTGTGTGTACGTGTAAGTACGTACTTACCCGCAGCTGGTTAAGCAGTGTGCCACTGAAGAGGAGGTATATCCAAGGGTTGGTACAGCTGTTGAGTGACCCTAGCAACATGCACACCACAGTCACCGGGTTAATCGTCGACACTGCGGAATTTCAACATGTTAATCTCGTGTTATTACCATGTTAAACCCATGCAACAAAGGTTAAACCGTGCTCCAGCACTTAACATCACTTCAAACAAAATTTTAACCTTATTAAACCATGTTATTCATGTTACAACACGTCCTGTCAATGTTAAACATTCTTAAGCCATGTTACTTCATGTTGCGACAGGTCCTGTGAATGTTAAACCGCCTTCAACCATGTTATATCATGTAACGTCAAGTCCACTAAATATTAAACCACCTAGAATCACGTAACATCACATCTCGTAAATGTTAAACTTCCTTAAACCATGTTAAACCAAACGAACACAACGCCCAGTGAAAATTAAACCATATTTCATTATATGGAATAAGAAAAAAATAAAAAAAAAACTGTCTAGTTAAATCATTCTAAATTACAAAACATCAGGTGCAATGTTAATTAAATTTCGATAAATTAATAAGTCGTTAACAGTCAACTGTAATTAACACACTTAATTACAATAGCTGGAAAGTGTATCTGTAATTCGATTTGAAAACGTAAATTGCAAATCGGTGGAAAATCATATATGCAGATCAGTGGATAATCACATATGTAATCGTATGTGCAGTTCCAACAACGCTCTGTAAACCTCAGTGTTGTAAATTATCCACTGTAAATTGTGTAAAATAAACTGCTTACTATAAATAAATAATTGTAAATTATACAGTAAAAAAATATAGATTTATGCAATGCAAATTGTGAGATTGATTGTTGTAAATTACACACACACACATACACACAAGCACACACACACACACACACACACACACACACACACACACACACACACACACACACACACAAACAAACACACAGGGGCCAGGAGCTGAGTCTCGACCCCTGCAACCACAATTAGGTGAGTACACACACTGCATGATTGTAAATTGTAAATAGGTATAATTTACGACATATATTCCCTCTGTTATTCTTTTTTTTCCAACTGACAGGTGTCGACAGGCGTTATTAATGAGGCTCAAACAATTATTAATGAGGGTGTTAAATTATTCTCATTATTAAAGCAGATCCAAATGTAAATGAGAATGAGATTTTAGAATCTTTATATATATTATATATATATATATTAATTATATATATATATATATATATATATATATATATTATATATATATATATGTCGTGCCGAATATGTAAAACTGGTCAATTAGCAAGAACTCATTTAAAATTAAGTCCTTTCTAAAATTTTCTCTTATACGTTTAAAGATATGTTTTTTTAATTAATGTTAATGTAAAATTTTTTAATTTTGCTCCAAAAGAATCTTAGAAAACTTACCTAACCTTATTATAACAAGAACAATTTATTTTAGCCTAACCCAACTAAATATATTTTAGATTTGTTTACAATAATTTAATACTAAACAAACACAGTGAAATATATTTTTTTCGTTAGGATCAGAATGATTTTGGCGAAATTATTGCATACACAAATTTTCACTTGTCCTATACGGCAAGATGAGCGTTGCTATTTAAGCCAAGATCGCAAGTTCTGCCTATTCGGCACGACATATATATATTAGTATTAGTAGTAGTAGTAGTAGTAGTAGTAGTAGTAGTAGTAGTAGTAGTAGTATTAGTAGTAGTAGTAGTAGTAGTAGTAGTATAGTTTAGTAGTAGTATATAGTAGTAGTATGTAGTAGTAGTAGTAGTAGTAGTAGTAGTAGTAGTAGTAGTAGTAGTATAGTAGTAGTAGTAGTAGTAGTAGTAGTAGTAGTAGTAGTAGTAGTAGTAGTAGTAGTATTAGTAGTAGTAGTAGTAGTAGTAGTAGTAGTATTAGTAGTAGTAGTAGTAGTAGTAGTAGTAGTAGTAGTAGTAGTAGTAGTAGTAGTAGTAGTAGCAGTAAGCAAACAATAATGTCCTACCTATTTGATAATTTCTTCCTGGCACCGTAACTATCTTACTTAAGCAAATCTCTGGCACTGAAAATAGTCCACATACATAGAAGAGCCTCCATTAATTACACTCTAGAGGCCACGAGTCTGCCTAATGAATCTAACTCTCGTTAACCTCGGTAATTGCTCTTCATTAATCGACCGGGGAGGTTGGGCAAAGCGTTCGCGTTTTCCCAAAGGGAATCCCGGATGCGTTTTGCTTACGCAGGAACGCTACTAGGGCGAAAAGAGCGGACGGAAACGTGGGCAAGAGAAACGTTTCGCTCTCTCTCTCTCTCTCTCTCTCTCTCTCTCTCTCTCTCTCTCTCTCTCTCTCTCTCTCTCTCTCTCTCTCTCTCTCTCTCTCACTCTCTAAAAAAGACCTTTGTCTTCGCCCCGTGAAGAGCTTCACTCCTCGCCCCGTGTAAGATTTCATCATCGCTCTGTCTAGAGCTTTTCCTCCTGTATAGAGCTTTACCACAGCTCTGCAAAAGATCTTTGCCAATGCTGTCTACTTTATCGCAGATGTGTAGAGCTTCGTTGTCGCTCTATGTAGAGCTGAATCATAGCTCTGTGTAGAGCTTTATCATCACTCTGTGTAGAGCTTTATTATCACTCTGTGTAGAGCTTTATCACTATTTGTAGAGCTTTATCATCACTCTGTGTAGAGCTTTATCACTGTTTGTAGAGCTTTATCATCACTCTGTGTAGAGCTTTATCACTCTGTGTAGAGCTTTATCACTATTTGTAGAGCTTTATCATCACTCTGTGTAGAGCTTTTTCACTGTTTGTAGAGCTTTATCATCACTCTGTGTAGAGCTTTATCAATCTGTGTAGAGCTTTATTACTCTGTGTAGAGCTTTATCACTCTGCGTAGAGCTTTCACAAGCTCCCTCCGCACTTCTTGGTTTCAACATATTTCACTTTTTATCCCTGTCTCTAAGGACGAAAATCCCCTCAAATCCGGGAGGAAAAAAGACCCTCGAAGCCCGACAAGCATTGGAAAAGCCTTCCAGGCTGCCCTCGTTAAGTGTGGATAACCAATCCTTCCCACGTTAACCTCCTTGCAGAACCGATCCTGCCATCGTTATCATCCCTGCAAAGCAAATCCTTCACTCGTTAACGCCCTTGTAGAGCTAATCCTGACCTCGTTAGCCTCCCTGCAGAACCAGTTCTACTCTCGTTAACCTCCCTGCAGAACCAGTCCTACTCTCGTTAACCTCCCTGCAGAACCAGTCCTACTCTCGTTAACCTCCCTGAGAACCAATCCTACTCTCGTTAGCCTCCCTGCAGAATCAATCCTACCCTCATTAACCTCCCAGAAGAATCAATCCTACTCTCGTTAACGTCCTGTAGAACCAATTACTTCGTTAACATCCCTGCGAACCAGTCTACCTCATTAACCTACGAAGAACAATAAATACTCGTTAACCTCCCTGCAGAACCAGTTCTACCCGTTAACCTCCTGCAGACAACCCTGCTCTTTAAGTAGAATAACAGTTACGATTTAATTCTGTGCGTTAATAATTACACTGATTCACTCAGAAGATAGGAAAAAACTCTGCATTAAAGTTTACGTTATGTCCCGAAATTAGTAAGTAAAGAACATTCGCAGTTAGTACGGTTAGTAATTTCTTGATCTTTTTCAGTGTAAATACTAACTCGTATGTGATTATTATTATTTTATTATATTATTATTATTATATTATTATTATTATTATTATTATTATTATTATTATTATTATTATTATTATTATTATTATTATTATTATTATTATTATTATTATTATTATTATTATTATTTTTATATTATTATATTATTATTATTATTATTATTATTAAATTTTATTATTATTATTATATTATTATTATTATTATTATTACTGTATTATTGTTATTATACCATTATATTTTATTATTTATTATTATTATTATTATTATTATTATTATTATTATTATTATTATTATTATTATTAATAGTAGTAGTAATGGTAGAATATTTATTACTGATTATATTATTATTGGTATCCTTATTATTGATGATAATAATAATAATACTATTGGTGGCAATAATAATAATAATAATAATAATAATAATAATAATGAAAATGATAATAATAATAATAATGACAACAATAACAATCATATTATTACAACTACTAGATTAACGAAAAAGCTCTAAACCCACAGGGCTATTAAGCCAAGAGGGTATGTAAGTCACAAAGGACCGGATCAACTCTTGATGCTCTGGTTTGAACCTATTTGTGATGCTATTCAATCCTTCTGGATTACATTGTTAAGCTATCGTCGTTAGTCTTATAGAAACTCTTGTTATATCGCTAGACTTCGTTAAATCGTTATGTGTTTTATCGTACGTTATATCGTTTGTCTCTTTAACCGGAGCTCATCGTTACTCACGAATAATTCCGCAAAACTATAAAAATTGCAATATATATATATATATATATATATATATTATATATATATATATATATATATATATATATATATATATATATGCAATAAGATCACAGTAAACAGGTGATTTCAGAATATGCAAAACAACCACTCTGAAAGAATAGAGAAATTCCAAGCGCTTTCGTGACTACTCACATTATCAAGTTCCTTGATAATGTGAGTAGTCACGAAAGCGCTTGGAATTTCTCTATTCTTTCAGAGTGGTTGTTTTGCATATATATATATATATATATATATATATATATATATATATATATTATATATATATATATATATATATATATATATATATATATATATTCCAAGCTTAGATACGTTGTTAACGTATCAAAGCCTTTGTTAACTATATCTAACTTTGAACTCTAACTCTATGCTTGCATAACTTAGCTCTAACACATGATATAATGTTTCTGGGATGAAATGTCAACATTATCAGAATTCATGTAGTGGATCCCCCGGGGTAGTAACTGTGTATGTTAATATTTACCCAGGGTCCTTCCTCTCCCCTGTGTTTCTGTTTCTCTCTTGTTCTCCCTACGATGTTCTCTCCCCTTTTATTTCCTTCTTTCGTGCTTCTTTCTTTGTACTGCGTT